GGTGACAAAGTCTGAACAGAGTTGTACTGCTAAGCTCTCAGGCTGTTTGGATCCATCAGCCACTCCACAGGAGAAAGGCAATCTCCTTCCATTCAATTTATAATCTCAGATGTTTAGTGAGGGGTCAAGTTTGAGTAGGTTCAATGGCAATGAGAGAGAGAAAGGAAGATAGAGGGAGAGTGAGAGAGAAAGATTTTCAGTGAAAGTACAAAAGCATAATATAAATTAATCATCTCCATTTCAGAATACTTAATAACTCTGGGGAGAGATATAGTTTCAAAGAAAAACAGAAGAACTGACTTAGTGAAGAAGGATTGAGCAACGTGTCAACTGGGTACAGCATGTAATCCTCCCGGCTTAGATGCTTTTGCAATGAAGACATTATTGGAAGCTTTTGCAAAACTTGAATAGTATTTCTGGGCAGTTTAGAGACATTGTATAATATCCTTGCAAACCATTATGGTAATCAAAATTGTTTCAAAATTTTAAAAAGAAAAACTTAAGAAAATGAAAATGACCATTGTTTCAAAGAATTTATCAGGACTTGCCTGATAAATTGAGTAAGGAAAAGAAATAACTAATGTATGCTAATAGTTCCAGTTCAAGTGACTTGATAAGAATGATTCAATTTGCCAATATAGACCACCCAAAAGGAGAGGCAAATTTAAAACCTACAATGGACTCCCCATTGGAAATCTTGAATCTAAAGTGCTTGAAGGAATCTAAGTCGAAGAGAACAGAACTGAATTGAAAATTCAAATTTGGCTCACAAAAGAGCGTAGAAATGTGTACATCTCAATGGTTTATTTATTCAACAAAACTCTTCTGAGAATCCACTGTGTTGGCAGCATTGCAAACCATACACGTACAAACTGACTCACACTCATTGCCTTCAAGTAAGAACTGAGTGATAGCTGAGCATGCACTGGGTTTCTAAGGAAGCATATCTTTATGTTATGTAGTAGCTGGTTAATTCAAACCACCAGAGATGTCCAGCTTTTGGATTGGCAGCTCAATTCCCTAAGGAAAATTACTAGGAAATAATCTTTGCAGGATTCCTATTTGGTAGAAGAAACAAAATCTGTTAATAACGGAAGTAAAAACAAAGATTCTAGTGCAGTTCTCAGAGAATGATGATAGACTGATTCTCAACCTTAACCACATATCACCTATTTTCCACTCTGGGGATGGAATCCAGCCATCAATAATTGCTTAAGCTTCCCTTGTAATACCAATGACCTGCCAAGCAAAGAGAGCAAAGATTTTTCTCATTAAAAAATAAACCCAAATAAACAACAACAAAATCACCTGAGACACCAACAAACTGGGGATGATAGTGGGGAAGGGATGTAAAAAAAATAGAGGGATTGTTGTTGTTGTTGTAATGTGCTGTCGAGTTGCTTGCAACTCATAGCGACCCTATGTACAACAGCTTAAACCCTACTCTATCCTGTGCCAATCTTACTGTCTCTGACACACCTACCCCCGCTACACCCCAGTCACTGAATCTGTCCATCTCATTGAGGGTCTTTCTCTGTTGCGCTGTCCCTCCACCCTCCCAAGTATGACGTCCCTTTCCAAGGACTGGTCCCTCCTTGCAACATGGCCAAAATATGGCAGAATAAGCTTCAGAATCCTTTCCTCCAAGGAGCACCTGGGTCTCATCCTCTCTAAGATGAACCTGTTTGTTCTCCTAGCAATTCATGGTATATTCAATACTCTTCTCTATCACCACAGCTCAAAGGCATCAATTCTCTATCATCCCTAGTAATTGTTCAGCTTTCTGATGCATAGCAAGTAGTTGCAAAGACTACGGCCTGAATCAAGCAAACCTTAGTCTCCAGACTGACATTGTTGCTCTTCAGTACTTTGGAGAGGTCTCGAACAGCAGACTTTCCCTAGTGCAGTTAGTCTTTTAATTTCCTGGCTGCAGGTACCAAGAGTGTTGATTGTGGAGCCAAGTAAACTAGAGCTGTTAATAATCTCAATCTCTTCACTACCTATCAATTATATTGCCAGTTGGCCCAATGATGATAATCTTTGTTTTCTTGATGTTGAGCTTCAATCCATACTGAAAGCTGCAGTCCTTGACCCTCTGCAGGAAACACTTCATATCCTCCTCCATTTCAGCAAGCAAGGTTGTGTCATGTGCATAACACAGGTTGTTGATGAGTCTTGCTCCAATCCTGATGCCGCACTTCTGTTCACCTTCCTAGATAATCTGTTCTGCATATAGATTGAAAACATAAGAATATAGGACACATTTTACTAGGGATAAAAAAAAATATAATTTAAGGTCAGTCACTCTCATTGCTGGAACCACTCATAGCTGATTCTCCAGCAGGTGTTCTGAGATTGTAAATCTCATGGTAAGATATTGCCCATCTTTCTCCTGCTGTGCTGCTGTTGGATTACAGCTACCATAGAAACATGGGGTTTTGGATAGCAACAGATTTCCCCATTTGAAGGAGTTCATGCCAAACAGTTTGACAATTTACAGTTTCACCTAAAAGAACTCAGCATCCATCTGGAAAAAACATCAAAGAGTAAGAATAAGAGGTTATGAGAATAAGTTTAATGCTAAGGACAGCGGTAACATTTCTCAGTAGCTTGAGTGAAGAATATGAAAAGGAATGAATTGTTATTGTTATGGGCCCTCAATACTACTATGAGTCATAACAATCCCATGAGCAATGGAGCTGAACTTTGCCCTTTCCTTGCCATCCTCACTATCTCTGATATGCTTGAGCCCATTTGTTATAGTGACTGTATCAATCCACCTTACTGAGAGTCTTCATCTCCTACATTGGCCCTTCACCTTTCAAGTATAATGTTCTTCTCCAAGAATTGCACTCCCCCCCGCAACAATATGCCCAAAGTATGTGAGACAAAGCTTCACCATCCTTGCCTATAAGGAGTATTATGGTCACACAGGACAGACTAATTTGGTTTTCAGTTTATGGGGTTTTTTTAGTTGTTGTTTTGGCAGTCCATAGACTATTCAGTACTCTTCTCCAACACCACAACTCAGGGCATCAATTCTTCTGTCATCCTTAATCATTATTCAACTTTTGGATGTATAGCAGGAATTGAAAAGATGATCATTTGGACCAGGAGCGCCTAGTCTTTAAACTGACATCATTGCTCTTTAGCACTTTGGTGAGGTCCCTGACAATAGATTTTCCAAGTGCAATGTGTCTTTTGCTACTATCTTGACTTGACTGCTAGCTAGTACCAAGTGTGTTTATTATAGAACCAAAATGAAATCATTGACAATTTAAATCTTTTTCTATTATATGCTGCCTTTTGACCCAGTGGTGAGGACTTTTGTTTCCTTGACGTTGAGATGTAACCTCTGTTGAAGACTTTAGTCTTTGATCATCTATAGCAAGTAGAAGTGCTCCTCACTTTTAGCAAACAAAGTAGTGTCATCTGCATAATACAGGTTCTTGAATCTTCCTCCAATCCTGATGCCACATACGTCTTCATAAAGTTCAGATTCTCAAATGATTTGTTCTACATACAGATTGAATAAGTATGGAGAAAGGATACAGCTTTGACCACAGTTTTCCTGATTTTAATGGAGAAAAGATAGAGCCCTGACACACACTTTTTAAATTTTAAATTATGCATTGTTTTTCTCCTCAATATGAACAATAGATTCTTAGTCTAGGTATAGTTGCCACATGAGTATAATCAAGTATTCTGGGATTCTCATTCTTCTCAATATTTATTGCTATCCACAAAGTAAAATGCCCTTGCATAAACAATGGCACACAGATAGACATCCCTTTGGTATCCTCTGCTTTCAACCAAAATCCATCTGACATCATGTGCAAGTCAAATCTGAATGGTAGAAAATTAAAACAAGGCGACAAGAACAAAAGTGTGATCTTGAGTCTATTTCACCTGAATTTAAAGACCATCTCAAGAATAGATGTAAAACACGGAACACTAATGATAGAGACCAGATGAGGAATGATTAAGAAGATATAAAAAGTATTTCTAGGCTGGTAAAAAGGTTCCACGTGGGTAGGAGTAGATCATGTAATGGGGTCTATCTACAAAGTTGTGCTATTTTTTTAATCCTGACAATGTTCAAAAGACTTGTTGCATTGGGGAAATCAACTGTCAAGAATCTCTCCAAAGTGCTAAAGAGCCATGGTTTCAGTTTAAAGACGAAAGTGTGCATGATGAAGAAGAATCAGTGCTTTTGAACTGTGGTGTTGGCAGAGAGTACTTTGTTATGAACTGGTAAAGAACAAACCAACCTGACTTGGAGCAAGTGCAACCAAAGTGTGCCTTAGAGGTATGTATGGGGAAACTTCCTCTTATGTACTTTATCCAAGCTGTCAGAAGGGGCCAGTACTTGGTAAAAGACATCATTCTGCGAAAGATGGATGGTCGGCAAAGAAAGGTCCTTAATAAAATAGATTGACACAGTGACTGCAACGTTGAGTTTGAACATGACAGAGATGGTAAAGATAGAGCAGAACAGGGCAAGGTGTTGACCTATTGCTCATAGTGTTGCATGATGGTATGGAACAATAAGAACCTGTATCTCCCACACTTGATACAATTATTACAGTTACAGTTCTTATACTGCTTTTTTATTTTACAAGATTATCTCTCTATTAAACTGAGATCTTGAGGTTTGGAACCATGTTTTACTCACATTAGGACACACAGTTCAACATTCTTCTTTATAAACTCAATTCATGAAGATGTTGGCTGACTTCTTAATAGGTCTGGGTGACGCATTGTTTTTGCCTTGTATTGGAGCTAAGGAAAAGTTCCTAGTGTAAGTATCAGCTCTGGTATTTTTTATTTATTATGCTGGCACCACCACCGTTAATCATGGGCTGCTTCTGTTTTTAAAAATTCTTTAGTCTACATGTTCATTTTGTGAATGCTTAGGTAAAATGATATAAATTAGGTCATCTATAAATCCATTCAACTAAGTCACATTATATGAGGTAAATGAATTAATTCAAAAAAAGGTTAAATTTAACAAGAAGATAACTGACGACCTTAAAAGTGTTATTTATGTGGCCAAAGACAACACAAAACGGAAGGTAAGAAAATAAAGGCAGTATACCAGCATTATGAATTTGGCAGTAAAACAAAATTACAGTTATATCTACTGCTACTAAGTTGATTTCTACACAATCACCATCCATCCTGTCTCAGAGGAAATCTTTATGGGAGAATACTGCCTCATTTCTCTTTATCAGAATACCTGATGAATTCCAATCACTGAACTTTCAGTTAACAGGGCATGAGACAACACACCATACCACCAGGACCCCTTGTTCCAGTTATACAGGATGCACGGGTCTAGGGTTGGTTTTGTTTGTCTATTTCTCTGTTTCCCAAGTCTGGGAATAGCTATAGGTTTGTAGAAGAAGATCCAAGGTTCTTTCCCTTAATTGTGGACATGTACTAATACTTCTTAAATGGTGGGAATTGTTGTTGTTGTTGTTAGGTGCTGTCAATAGACTCTGACTTAAAGCAATGGTACAAATAACAAGCGATCTTGTACTAACCTCTCAATCTGCATTGTGTTTTAAGTCTACTCTTGTGGTCACTCGTTGAGGGTTTTCTTTTATGGTAAATACTCTTCTTTTAAAGGTAAGAATCTAGAAGAAGAGATACTAAATCCTCCTCCACATGAAGATATATTGTTGTTATGTGCTGTCGAATCAACCTGTGACTCATAGTGACCCTATGTACAACAGCCCTAAACTCTGCTCTATCCCTTGCCAATCTTATCAACTCTGACACACCTCTCCCTATTACCCCAGTGACTGAATCAATGCATCTCATCAAGGGTCTTTCTTTCCTGCACTGTCCCTCTACTCTCCCAAGCATGAAGTCCCTCTCCAATGACTGATCCTGCCTTGCAACATTCCCAAAGTATAGCAGGTGGAGCTTCAGAATCCTTTCCTCCAAGGAACAGTCTGGCTTCACCCTCTCCAGGATGAACTTGTTTGTTCTCCTAGCAGTCCATGGTATATTCAATACTCTTCTCCAGCACCACAGCTCAAAGGCATCAACTCTCCTTCTGTTATTCCTAGTCTTTGCCCAGCTCTCTGATGCATAGCAAGTAACTGCAAAGATCATGGCCTGGACCAGGTGTACCTTAGTCTCCAGACTGACATTGTAGCTTTTCAGTACCTTGGAGAAGTATGAAATGGAAAATAAGGCTCCTTAATACACATTTTCCTTTCCCATATTTCTGGAGGTTTGGTGGCCTAGTGATGGGTATTTGTGCTGTCAACCCAAAGCCATGAGGTGTGAATACACCAGTTGTGCTGATGGAGAAAGAAGAATAATCTCCTCCAGTGCAGTGCTCAGCCTTTGAAAAACCATCGAAGGTTCTGACTGGAATGCAATGAGTCTGAGTTTGGTTTTGTTTTTCTGGAAAAAATAAGTTGCAATGAAAGTAGCTTCTTGTTAGGAGAGCCTATTCTTTCAGTTATCTCAGAAACAGTTATTTTTGCCATGACCAAGAATCAAATAAACACGAGTATTTGTTATTTTGTCACTCTGAAAATCCTTTTCTGAACTAATCTTTCAACCTTTAACAAAAGCCATTACTAGGGCTGCTATTTCAGTAAAACACTGAAGGCCAGATGTGAGCTCACTTCTTTGCTTGCTGGACTTGCATTTTCTATGCTTTGTTGCATCAAAAATACACACACACACACACACACACACACACACCCCCCACTCAGAAGCAATGTTTAAAAAATGACTATTTAACTTGGGAGAGGCTAGAGAGCCTTATGCTGATTGAACTAACACAGTCTTATAAGGACAAATACTGCATAAAACCATTATTGTAAAAATAGATAATTACTGATACATGTATGGGAGGGAACTCAAGGCAGGAGGGAAGATGATGTGTAGGGGCAAAACCACAGGACTACACAGTTTGGTGGGTGAAAGTTGGAGGGAGAAAGAAATGGTAAGGATCTGGCAAAAAGGGTAATGATGGGCAAAGTACAAGGGTGATTAATCTTATAAAACAGAAAGCATGAGAATAGTTATATGAAACACAATGTGAATGAAGAATTGTATGAGACACAAAATATGCAAACTTTGTAAGTAAACAAATTTTTTTAAAAAGGATACACACACAGAGATGAACATTTTCTTACTCTTCAAATATAAGCATTGTCTACAAATATTTCTCCCTTCTATGCTTGTATTTGTTTTTACATAATTAAAGCGCAGACTAAATCATGACAATTGCTTGAGAAATTATCTGGCTTCCGAATTATAGGCTTCCGAATAGTTTCACTTTATATTTTCTTATTGTTGCTGTTATGTGCTGTTGGTCAACTGTAACTCATAGCAAACATATGAACAACAGCTATGAGACTTGCCAATCTTGAGCCAACTTCACCATTTCTGACACCCTATTGCCACAGTCATTATGTCAATCCATCTTGTCTAGGGTCTTCCTCTCTTGTGCTGACCCTATCTTTCAAGCATGATGTCCTTCTCCAAGGATTACCCTCTCCTAACCACATGCCCAAAGTATATAACACCGTTTCACCATCCTTCCCTCTAAGGAGTGTCCTGCTTTTCACTTTCTCCAGAACAGACAGCTGCACAATTCAATTCTACAGTGGCCCAGATTCTTCTTCTGTAATCTTAGTCATTGTCCAGCTTTCAAATGCATAGGAAGCAATTGAGAAGGTCATGACTTGGATCAAGTGCACCTTAGTCATTAGGCTGATATTATTGCTCTTTATCATTCTGGAGAAGTCCTTAACAGCAGATTTTCTCGTTACTATTTGTCTTCTGATTTCCTACTTACTCATGTCAAGGATAATCATTGTTCCCCATCTATCATGATGCTGTCTATAGGTTTGGTGGTGAGAGTTTGTTTCTTCGATGTTGAGATGTAACAACCCATATTGGAAGCTGTAGGCTCTGATCTTCTGCAACAAGTGTTTCAAGTCCTCCTCACTTTTAGCAAACAATATCTACATAATGTTGGTTGTTGGTAAGTTTTTCTCAGGTCCTGATGCCATTCTTCTTAATACGGTCCAGCTTCTCAAATAATCTGTTTGGCATACAGATTGAAAAGATATAGAGAAAGGATGTATCCCTGGCTACATCTGTGAAAAGAATAATCTGAGAGGTTCACTATCAGTTGTGAAAGCCAGGCCAGGTGCTGACTATGGAATAGACCATCAACTATTCATATGCAAGTTCATATTGAACTAAAAAAATTAAATCCACAAGAAACAAAATACAACCTTAAGTCTATCTCACCTGAATTTAAAAACCATCTCATGAACAGGTTGTAGGCATAGAACACTAATGATTAAAGACAAAATGAGCTCCCAAATCAATAAGACAGTTGGTTTAATTACTATTGGAAAATGCTTGTCATTCCTTTGTAGCATCTGGTCCCCACTGGACCCTCATAATTTCCTTCACCTGCTCCCCACACCGACCAAACTGTGCAGCTCTGCAACTGCATTCTGGCCCATCCTCACCCTTCTGCCCCTAACCCTCACCTCCTTGTACCCCCAATATGTTTTTCCCGATAAAAAAATTTTTTAAATAAGACGAAATGAGCTGTGGAATGTCATTAAAGTTATCATTCATGAAGAAAGCAAAAGGTCATTACAGACATGTTCTCATA